TGCTTTCCTTCCCGCACCTTCCCGCACCTTCCCACTTTCCTTCCTTCCCCTCTCCCCCTCCTCGGAGAGCCCGCCTACTAGCTCGGTTGCATATTCATGGGCTACAGGACATGGAACAGAAACGGAATCTGGAACAGAAACCAAATTCACTTGGTTACTTGGGACTGATGGACAGGCTAGAAAAGGACTGCTCCCGGCCTCCCTCTCTTGTTCCAAAGGTTGGTAAACATCTATCTCCCTGAGTTGGTTGGAAAGTACTTTTGTCCTTTGGTCATCCTGGTGATCTTTCCACTCTACCCCTAGTTCACCCCTAGATGGTGTGTTCCCGCTTTGCTTCCGGTTCTCCCGGTTCTCCCGGTTTGCCCCTTCTGATATTCCTTTCACACTCTGTAGTCTTGTGAATGAGTAAACCAATTACAATCTTCACCCTGAAATAAGCTTGCAAAATTCCACCCATCCATGTCACCTCCAGCACAACTACCTTCGTCGTTTACACTGCCCACGCTAGTACCATCAACAGAAAAGTTCTCCGATTCTTCATCTCCTTCACTGCACTGTACCCAACCTTCATCCTTCTCTTCCCTCTCTTCAGTTCTTTCCCTACCGTATCTTGGATTCGGCCTCTCTAAGGAGCGTCACAAGGGGCTAAGCTCCTCCAGACTTCGTCGGGAAACCCACTGCAAATCCAACTTCTTCTCCATTTTCCGCCGCTGCGCGCATTCCCCCCCTTTCTCGCGACTTGGGATGATGATAGACCATTAACATCGTCTATCAGCGGCCCAAGAAGAGTCCCCATACCCCGACCCACGTGACATTTTAAGTTATCACGTGGGTCCTTCAAGCGGAGCCTCCTTTCGGTGTTACACCCACCCGACCTGCCCGCGTGACCTTTTAAGTTGTCATGTGGGCCCTTCCAATGCTGTCCCGACTCAAACGTCACCCTGCCCGACCCACCCGCCACCTCACCGGCTCGGACCAAACCTTTCGGCTCCCCAACCCATCCTGCCTCTTCG